ACTTCATCTTTAATCTTCAATGATAATTGAGTACTATAATCAAAAATCTTTTTTAAACGTATAATATATTTCGAATTACTGAGCTTCTATGAATGAATGATATGCGGTTATAAAGAGAAATACATTGATTTTGAGAGTTTTTGTGTCCTAAATTGGATATTTTAAATAAAAAACTTGAAGTTAAAAAAACCTTACGGTTTTTCCTCATTCATATTATTTGTTTAGAATAATCAATACTATTAGTTATATATACATATGCTATTTGTATTGCAAAAAGATTGCTATCACATGATTCAAATGATGTGATTTTAGTCAATCAATAGTGTAATAACAAATATCGTCACTTCTAGAAATATCCCACGCGGAAGAAGCACGCCTGTAGGTGACTGTAAATCATTGTAATACTCAACCATGTAAAACAGTGAAATACAGTAGTATACAATAAAAGACAAAATATATCCGGGTTTTCTATTCTTCGTCTAATTAGTGGCAGAGCCAGGACTTTGAGCTGAAGGAGGCTCAGCCCCCTCTGAGAAACCTTTGAGCCCCCTTGGCGAATAAAATACATGCTTTAAAAAATTTTCCTGGGAGAGGCTCAAAGGTTTCTGAGGGAGGCTGAGCCCCCCCTCCCCTTCTAGCCACCCCTGGCTTCGCCACTACGTTTAATATAGTTTTTGTACTAAACCAGTATTCTTTCAGTGTGTGTGTACTTAAATTTTTGTAAGATAATTATGTTTTTTGGCCCATAAGCACAGTTACGGTCATAAGTAAAATTGGTATAGACATGAAAGAAAAGTTCATTGTAAAGATGAAAAGTGGCAATAGATATTCTATTTTCTGGAAAATCTTCAAAGTATGAAATAGAATTCGAAGTCCTAGACATGTCGATATGAATACAATCAGGATTTTTTAATCAGAAAATCGAAACTTGAATTTTGAAATGTCTTCAATATTGTATTTTCAAGAGAATAGAAATTCATTGTCGGATTTGTTTTAGGCATCTCTAGAATATCTTTCTCTGTTTTCTATGACTTGTTTTCAATTTTACAATGTAGAGAGCTAATTCTTGAACGTTGATTCAATTTTAGCAAGATAGGTGCTTGTAAATCAATGATCACGGCGAGATGAAATGAATGTAATATTATGAACAGTATCGACTTGATTCTAATGCATTTCTATTCATTTAAACTCATCAATTCGCTAGAAGTATAAAGACGAATAGAGGTAAAAAGCTCTTGATGAAATGCAACCACATCGAAAGAAAGAAGTGAAAAAATGTATCTTCGATTTTTTGTAGCACTCCTTTTCTTTGGGCTTTCTTTGCTTTTCACTGTGAGAAATTTTGAGAAGTAAGATCCCAGGTAAATCTGAAAGGTGCTTGCAGACCAGAGCACGCCAAAATTATTAACGAATGAGCGTAGGTATGGTGTACATATGGACGGCAAGGACGATACAATCGTAGTAAACGTTCTAGAGTAGTATATTGGTTTCGCCGTAGCATGACGCTGAATCTTTCTATTAAGACTATAGCCGCTTGATGGGTTGCGAAGTAGGATTCAAATCTTTCTTACACATCATAGTCGAAAAAGAGTTAACATACAAAAACTTTGTTCTACTTTCATTAAACGCATAGCATAACAATCGTAACAAAGGCTATAAGTGTCTGCAAAAAGTAAATTTATCTGAGTGGCCGATGCATATATTATACGGAAAATATGTCAAAAATTCTTATCGTTTGCCATAACTATTAAATTTATATTGTCTATCATAAACAAAAACAAAAATTGAGTTCATACTTTCTGGTCATTCAGTGTTGCTCAACCGAAAAATCTGTAAAGCAAAAACATTATTTTGACTTGAACATAAACAATAATTTATCGTCAATTAAACGCATTACTTAGCCTATACGTTCTCATCTTGAAGTCCTTCTTTAATGCTATTCAAGTAATCAATATAAGGATAGATTATAAAATAATTTTGATTCTTACAGTTCATTTATAATCTAATACTACGAGTTAAACATTAAATTATATTTCGGCTCAAACGATATCATCGAAGCCGATAAGTGGACTTCTAAGTATGGTAAATGTTTTGTTGCATATAATATATATTAGTTTTTTTAAATGTCATAGTATATAGAATGTGAGTGAATTCGAAAGAAAAAATAAAAATATGTCCACACCCTCAACAACAGCGACAGTTACTGCCACAATCCATAACAACACCCTTATCAACATTGTTGTCTACGTTAGTGAATTCATTCAAGCTGTATATGAAGCCGAATTTAACTTTGTTATAATTTTTTTGCAGCGATGCTTTTTTTTATTTTTATCTGCTTGGTTTATCTATTGGTTTATTATGATGCCGTTTATATAATGCATCGTCAGTTGCAGAGAACTTGATTGGGTTTATAAAGCTATCGTACGTGTCCACGTTATTGCGTCTAAAACATAACCAAGCAACAAATAGCAGATTCTTTACTGATCTTGAAGCCTATTAGAAATTCTCTTCAAGTTTAGAGAAAAATTCCTAAGTGTTCAAGTTTATTGTTTCTCATGAGAGTCCCTTACGATATTTTGGCATCAGTGTTATTACATCTAGAAAGTTCCACTTTGAAATGGAATCAGTAAAAAATTTTCTATTGTGTGTTTATTGATAGCATGATGAACAAGTTATTTACCAGAGAATAAGTAACTCGCTAAATTTATGTGTTCGTAATACGTTCGTCAAAATAAATAATATCGAATCCTATTTGTCATTGTTCCGTCAAAATGTCAAAAAAACTACGTTAGAGAGGAGTACTTCATAACTTAAAAGTCTCATATATCATTTTATTCTCACAGGATTTTTTCGTAACTGGAAAAACTCAGTAGGAGATGCTTGACTCTGGCCATCGATGACGCACCAGCTAAAAATAAATTGTTAAAATTATGAGACATCAGATTGCTTAATATTTGAATTATGCTTATGTTTGATCGAAGTATCTGTCATATTGAATAAATTTCATGAGGTCTTACTATTTAATTCTTTGTCATAAAGCAACGTAGTTCAAAATGATTATTCATGATTTTATAGTTGACTCACAATCGAGATGGGTAACTTTCTAGAACTAATGTATATTTTACATAGATTTCATCCAAAAATAAGTTGAATTTTCATCGGCAAGTTACAGAGAATTTCTCAAACAATACAACATTAGTCAATGGTATATTAAAACCTTATCTCTGATATGATCAACAATTGATCAATGAAAATATAAATTTCTATTTTTTTTTCATCTGCTCTGGCGGTGCTTCTCTAATCAACATCTATAGGAAATCTAATTTTTATGCTATCTTCATAGTTGTTTATAAAGAAATCAAGACAAATGGCATCGATTTCAAGTGTTAGTGGATGAAAAAAACGTCGTCTTTGTACAAAGAGCATTCAAAACTTGAGATAGAGCATTAGATGGCATTGGCACTGTTCGAAAAACATAATGTGAACATGAAAAACACGGTGTCGTGATGATGATTGATTGGAAAAATATGAAAATGTTGTTGCTTGTTTTTTAACAACAGAATAACTTTCTATCATATTTTGATTTCAAGATATTCAACAATATATAAAAATAACTTACATGATATAAGTAAATTAACTTTAAAAAAAACTCATGGAATACACTGGCCGTTGTAAAAATTGTAAATAAATGTTTGAATGGAAAATATATTTTAGAAAATACAGCGTATTAAAATAAAAAATATTGTTGAATTTTATTTAGTTTTTGATTAAACATTGAAGGTTTCGTGTTTTTTTCTTTTAACTGTAAATATTTTGAAGAGGATATCATTTGTGCTTATTATAACTAGTACATATGCCATATTTTCTCGTCTTTATTATTTTGATGCATCTTGGTATTCAGTAATTATTCAATGGTATCATTAACAACGATCAGATCATCATCATTATCCATTATCAGTGATGAAATTCAAGTTGCATATGAAGTGAAAAATTATTTTGTTATTAGTACAGATAATCATGTGCCAATTGATGTTCACGATTCAAAAGGCATTATAGCTAATGAAACTTATAGAAAACCTATTTGAAAATTTAAATTAAATAAATGATTAAGAATCGTTTTTGTAGTTATATCATCTAGTTGAACAATACCTTGCTGAAGAATTAGAGGCATGATTAATTCCATCCATTTAGACATTGTTACAAACATATCTAATGATAATAAGAGTGATGAAAGAGTGAAATCATTTTTTTGAACGTAATATATGATGAAAATAATTATTAATTAATAAATAAATAGACTGATGTAATACTTCATTAATTATAAATCAGCTGATATCAATGTCACAGAAGTATTATTACCAAATATCCATCGATTTAAATTTTGACTACTTTCTATTTAAACATTTCGAGATGGAATATTTTGAAATAAAACATGTCCATTCTTATCTGTTATTTCAGTTATTTGTGTTGTATAGTCTTCCATTAATTGAGGATCTACAGGAATTCGTTTAACTAATCGTATTTTAAATCTATTAGAACAAATACATCAAACGGTACATTACCAGGAATAATAAAAATATTGCATTAAATTGAATAGAATAGTCAGAAGACAAGATTAATTTTCATAATTAGAAGAATAATTACAATCATACTAGACCATACGAACTTAGACATTGTCTTTTTTTCTCGTTTTAATAAAATATACTTCATACAAAGTTTTTTCTTTTGCTTTTTATAAATAAAATTATACTTGCAAATTTTACTTTACATAAATGAATTTCAATCAGTTTTATTTTTTTTGTCCATAAGTAAAAAAAACTACATTATTCATGTTGAAATTATTTGAAAATAAACGATGTAAAAAATAAAATTTAATCGGGAATGATGGCAAAAAAAATAATAAGAACTGATGCGACGAAAAGTAAATAAGAGTTCACTCTTTTAATCTATATCTCAAAGAGAAAGAAAATCAATTCACACAACGATTTATTATAATCTATTTATGATCCAAATGCAATACCAGCACTAACATACACATGAAAGATTTTTTCAATAGCATTTACATATGCTGCTGTACGAATATCAAGTCCAAGATCATAACGCATGGCTGTTCGCATAATAGCTTTTGCAGATTTTTCCATTGTTTGTTCAAGACCAGAATGTACGATATCTTTTTCAGATGCACCAGCCATACGTTTAAAAAATTCATCACTTGGTAACTAAGATAATATATATTTCTTTTTAAATAGTTTTTCGAAAAAAAAAATAAAATAAAATAAAACTTTCTACTTACAATTGGAATTTTGCCACCCTAAGAAAAAAAAAAATTTTAGATGAGTAAAAAAGAAAACAAATTGATTTTTTACCATACGACCAAATTTAGCTTCTAATGAACTTTGTACGGATTCTATATAGAGAATAAAACAAAAACGTTTGAAACAAAATTCTTTTTGAAAAATATACCTAGTAAAGAATAATTAGTATCTCGTTGATATTTAAAGGTTAATCGACCATAACTGACATGACTTAAATTTTTTAACCATTCAAAATAAGAAACTGTGACACCACCAGCATTGATATATAAATCTATAGAAATTATTGATAAAACTTTTCTGTGTTTAAATTATTTTTTTCTTTACTATACCTGGAAGAACAAGTACATTATTCTTCAATAAAATGGCATCAGCTTCTGGCGTTGTTGGACCATTAGCACCCTACAAAAGAAAAAAAAAATTATTTAATAATAATAAAACAAAATATTTTACTTCAGCAATAATTCGAGCTTTTATACGATGTGCATTTTCACTTGTAATTTGTCGTTCATTTGCCGCTGGTATAAGAATATCACATGGTTCACAAAGTAATTCTTCTTTTGGTTCTTTATCATAGGGCTGAGCACCTGGAAAACCTTTAATTGTGCCTCTTTCGAATTTATATTCTTCTAAGGCTTTTGGATCAATTCCATCTGGATTAACAATAGCACAATCCCATTCAAGTATACCAATACATTTGGCACCGTGTCGAGTTAAATAACGCATTGAATGATAACCGACATTACCAACGCCCTTGAAAGAAAAGGAAAAGTTAAGAATTCAATTAAATTTGCTCATTAATTTTTTTTTTTCTTATAATTACTTGAAGAATAAATGTTTTACCGGCAAGACCAGGTAAAAGACCAACCATTCCCCTGAATAACAAATTAAATTTTTATAATTAATTTGAAAAAAGAAACAATTTTTTTTTCCTTCGCACGTACATAAATGACGCTTCATTAACAAAATTATCTATACCATGATATAAACCACGACCCGTAGCTGATGTTCGTCCATGAATACCACCAGTAAGAATAGGTTTACCTGTAACACAACCATTTGCATGAATATCTTCCCAACCAACAGTTGATGCATATGTATCAGCAATCCAAGCCATTTCACGTTCACCAGTACCCATATCTGGTGCTGGAACATCAATACCAGGCCCAATAAAACCTTTTTTAGCTAATTCAACTGTTAATCTTCGAGTAATACGTTCTAATTCTGTTTCAGACCAATCTATCAAATACAACAACAACAACAAAAGAAGGTTTACTTTCAAAAAGAAGATTAAAAGAATTTTCTGTTTACCTTTTGGATTAATTTTTACACCAGCTTTTCCACCACCAAATGGTACATCAACACAAGCACATTTATATGTCATTAAAGCAGCTAATGCTTTAACTTCATCCAAATTGACATCCATAGAAAAACGAATACCACCTTTACATGGTGTACGATGTTGTGAATGTTGTGCACGATAGGCTTCAATCATTTGTAATTCTCCATTATCTCTTCGTATAGGAAATCGAATTTCCAAAACATGATTACATGGTTTAATAATTTTTAATATTCCTCGTACTTTTTTATGTTTTGTATCATCACTTAATTTTGATCTTTGCATATCAGCAACTAATTTATCTTCAAGAATTTTTGCAGCACGATCATAAAATAATTCAACTTGACGATAAAAACCAACATTTGCTGGTCCTTGATGTTGATGTGTTGATGCATGAGATGAAAAACGTATAATTGAATATGTTGATACTTGTTGTAATGTTTTATTATGACGTGAACTTATTTTTAACATTTTTTTTTTCAATCTAAAAATACGTTCATTCAAAAAATGGATCGGTCAAATTTTTGTTCATTAAAATAAACTTGGATAACTAAAAAGTATACAACAAAGAAACTATTTGTTTTGTTTAACTGTTATTACTTCACAAAAAAAAATACTGAACACTTTTTGTTTTTTTCATGTCGATGTATATCTGATTGTCACTCATACTTATTCACAATTAAACACCAAATGTCATACCAGCAGCTGAATAGACATTATAAATTTTTTCCAATGATGTGACATATGCAGCTGTACGTAAATCTAAACCTAATTTATAAGCCTGAGCTGTTTGCATAATAGCACGTGCAGATTTTTCCATAGTTTGTTCAAGACCAGAATGTACGATATCTTTTTCGGATGCACCAGCCATACGTTTAAAAAATTTTTCACTTGGAATCTATTATAGAACTTGTTGCTGTTTTTAAAAAAAAATCATATTCATTACTTACAATTGGAATTTTTCCTCCCATTTTACCAAATTTAGCTTCTAATGAAGTTTGAACACTTTCTACATTCACAAACAAAATTATTTATTTACGAAAATATTATGAAAATAAACAGCTCTACCAAGAAGTGAATAATTTGTATCTCGTTGATATTTAAATGTCAATCGACCATATGATGTATGTTGAAGATTCTTAAGCCATTCAAAATATGATACTGTGACACCACCAGCATTCTTTATGATAATTAATATTAATATATAAATTTTTTTTTGTTCTATAAAAATAAATACTTACAATATACATATCGGGAATAACTAAAACATTGTTTTTAAGAAGAATTTGATCTGCTCCTGGTGTTGTTGGTCCATTAGCACCTTCAGCAATGATCTAAATAACAAAACTTATTTTCTGAAATAAAGAAAATAATATTAAAACTAACTTTAGCTTTAATTCGTCCAGCATTCTTTTCTGTTATTTGTTGTTCACTTGCAGCTGGTATAAGAATATCACATGGTTCACAAAGTAATTCTTCTTTTGGTTCTTTATCATAAGGTTTTGCACCAGGAAATCCAACAATAGTTCCCTTTTGAAATTTATATTCATCTAATGCTAATGCATCAATACCATTTGGATTAACGATAGCTCCATCCCATTCAAGTACACCAATACATTTTGCACCATATCGTGATAAATAACGCATTGAATGAAAACCAACGTTACCGGCACCCTAAAAAAAAACAGTCAAAATTCCAATTAAATTTGCTACATTCATTTTTTTTTCTTGTAATTACTTGAACAATAAATGTTTTTCCATTTAAACCAGTTGTTAAACCAATTTGATCCATATAAAATTTTTCATTTAGAAAATTATTCACACCATGATATAAACCACGACCCGTAGCTGATGTTCGTCCATGAATGCCACCTTGTAATATAGGTTTACCAGTAATACATGCATATGCATTTAAATCTTCCCAACCAACAGTTGATGCATATGTATCAGCAATCCAAGCCATTTCACGTTCACCAGTACCCATATCTGGTGCTGGAACATCAATACCAGGTCCAATAAAACCTTTTTTAGCTAATTCAACTGTTAATCTTCGAGTAATACGTTCTAATTCTGTTTCAGACCAATCTATCAAATACAACAACAACAACAAAAGAAGGTTTACTTTCAAAAAGAAGATTAAAAGAATTTTCTGTTTACCTTTTGGATTAATTTTTACACCGGCTTTAGCTCCACCAAATGGAACATTAACACAAGCACATTTAAATGTCATTAAAGCAGCTAATGCTTTAACTTCATCTAAATTGACATCCATAGAAAAACGAATACCACCTTTACATGGTGTTCGATGTAACGAATGTTGTGCACGCCATGCTTCAATTAATTCCCATTCACCATTATCACGTCGAACAGGAAATGTCATAGCCAAAACATAATTAGGTGGTTTCATCACTGTTAATATTCCTCGTACTTTAATACGTTTTTGTTGTTCACTTAATTTCGTTTTGTGCATATCAGCAACTAATTTATCTTCAAGAAGTTTTGCAGCACGATCATAAAATTTTTCTACCATAGTATAAAAACCAGTTCTATTGAAGAAAAAATTTTGTGTTCAGAACAAAAAGTAAAAGTATAAAATTTCAAACAAACAAAGTACCCTTCTTCTTCTGATGGACTTTCACTATTCAAATTACGTACAACACGATACATAGGACTGATTCCAACATTTAGTTTTAATGATCCCGTGTGATTGCACACGGCACGTGATAGGATCGACATATCTGGAAATGCAAAAACAATAAGAAAAAAAGATCGATGTTTGTATCTTTCAACAAGATCTTATTTTGTCCTCGGTTGCTTTTTGTTTTTTCAGCAATTTCATCTTTCTTTTCTTACCTCAATAATGCAAATGACTGTGGTAAAAGAAAATCATGCTTTATAAACACACCTCGATGTTTTTTTGCTACGATTGTACAAAGAGAAGAGAGAGAGAAAGTACAAGCAAACAAAAAGAAACATCACCAACCAATGCCAATCAATTTTTTTCTCCCGCGAAGAATAATATAGAGCAGCAAACGAATGTTCTTTGCTCACACCATATTGCTGATTGCTTCCAGAAGAAAGGGAGTCCTGTGTCAATGGTTTCTTTTTTTTCTCTCCCTCCTTCACTCCCTTTTTCTCTAGCTCTCTTCCTTCAAGTCTTTTTGTCGGAAGAAGAAAAACAAACTAGAGTGACGTCAGAAATAAAAATACAAGGGGGTAAACCCCTATGAATATTGATCGTATGATAACCTGCTTGTTCATTAGATCATATAAATTATGATTTAGACATTTTGTCTTTTGTTATCTTGATTAACAAAACGCTGCCACATATAATGTATTAAAGAATGAAAAAAAAAAAGAAAATGCATAACAAAGAACACAAAAGACAAAAAAAGAAACTATTGACTATGAAAAAAAACTAATTCAACGTTTTTGTTTTTCTTGTGTTTACACAGAAAAATCACTTCTTTTTTTAGTTTATTGTTCATCAAATACAATTTTATAGACATCATCATATGTTTTAGCGAAATGAACATTTAGTCCATCTTTAATAAAATCTTGAAGGTCATTATAATCTTTTTGATTTTCAAATGGTAATATAACTGTATGAACATTTGCTCTTTTAGCCTAAAAGAAAAGTTAAAAATATAAAATTAAATGGAATTTAGAAATACAAACATAAAACTTACAGCAATAACTTTTTCTTTTATTCCACCAACAGGTAATATTCGACCAGTTAAAGATACTTCACCAGTCATAGCAACATTTTGTTTTATTGGCTTATTTAAACCAAGTGATAGAAGTGCTGTAACTATTGTACAACCAGCTGAAGGACCATCTTTTGGTGTTGCACCCTAAAAACAAGCGATTCTTTTTTTTTCGTTTTTCTTTCTTTTTTTTAATGATACTTACTTCTGGTACATGAATATGTATTTGACCAATACGTAATGATCGATTATTTGGATCAATTTGTTGTAAAAATGATTTTGCATATGTTAATGCAATGGTACAACTTTCTTTCATAATATCACCTAATTTACCTGTTAATGTTAAACTACCAGTTGATCCACTACTCTTGTCATCTTTTGTTGTAGTATTCGACGGATCGAAAGCTTCGATAGGATTGATAAAACGTGATTCAATAAAAAGTACACTTCCACCTAAACAGAAAAGAAAAGAACAGTTAAATGATTCGAATATCTAATTGTTTTTTTTTTGTATTGGTTGATCTGTACAATAATGAGAAGGAATTAATTTTATCGTCTTTTTGAAAAAGATCCGAACCATGATTATCATATGGAATAGAGTACTTATTGAAGGCTATCAAATGCTAAAGAGAGAATATGTTTGTTCTATGCCTAATAAGACATTTCAATATTGACATTCTTATTATAAAAAATAAAAAGAACTAATAGATATATCGGTACTTTTCGTACTACCTACAGTCCTTCGTTCATCGATATGAGTATTAGTTATCGATGATGAACTTCCTTTTTACTGTACTAAAGAAAAATTATCTTTCAATAATTCAAGAAATGAAGAACGCGCAATCGATATGTCCCTAGTCGAAGAATAATTCACTAATATTAAAAAATTTTCGTTCTTCTCTATTGATCCTTTCTCACAATCTTGACACCCATCGGACACTTCAAGGAGAAACCTGCAGTAATATTCACTGGTGAAGTCTTAAAAGTGTCATGAATCCTTTGGAAATCTATTGAGATTTGCTGTTTCCATCGCGAAGGACTTCCGCAAATAATTACTACTTGTATAACTTGATTAAACTCTTCCATTCCATAAGAAAAAAACATTAGACTTCTATTTCAGGCTGGAATTTTGCTGACATTTACTTAGAAAGCCAAAAGTTTCTTGATAAATCTCGTTTAAACATACCACTAGCTGTCCATGCAAGACCCATAGAAACACCAGGTGGTGTTAATTCGTACATTCTGTCTGTTGTATATACTGGTTTTCCAACAAATTCTTGTAGATTTCCATCATCAACAACAATTTTCCTATCACCTTCTTTAACAATTTTGTATGCAACTTTGCGAAAGATCTATTAAATTAAATAATAATAATAATAATTACTCCAAAAGAAATTCTTTTTAACAAACTTTTTCAATATGTTTTTGTAAATTTCGAACACCACTTTCACGACAATAAGCTTTAATAAGGTACATTAAAGCTGAATCTTTTATTTCTATACCATCATTTTTAACACCTGTTTGTTTAGTTGCCATTGGAATTAAATAATTCTAAATAAACAAAACAATCTATAATTATATTTACTTTAATAAATCATAATTACTTTTGCAATAGCTAATTTTTCTTCTGCAACATATCCCGATACTTCAATAACTTCCATACGATCTTTTAATGGATCAGGAATAGTATCCAGTACATTAGCTGTACATATAAATAATACCTAAAATAATAAAAAATTTTATAAAGAAAATTGTCGAAAAACT